AGCAGAAAATGTTCAGAATGGAAACCAATAAGTTCTAGTATGAAACCTATTTGCCCTGCAGCCTGTAAATGTAAAAAGTGCTGATATATATATTGGATGTTCTGAAAAGCGCTAGTATGGCATACCATCATATATCAATCGATTTCACCCACTACAGACAAACCTGTCTTAAAAAGGCTGTCCCCCTCTACTCAGCCCTGGTGAGGCCTCCCCTGGAGTCCTGTGTCCAGTTGTGGGCTCCCCCGTACAAGAGAGACATGAACATACTGGAGCAAGTCCAGCGAAGGGCTCCTAAGAGGATGAAGGGACTGGAGCATCTCTCCTATGAGGAAAGGCTGAGAGAGTTGGGACTGTTCAGCCTGGAGAAGAGAAGACTGAGGGGGGATCTGATCAATGTGTACAAGTATCTGAAGGGAGGGTGTCAAGAGGATGAGGCCAGACTCTTCTCAGTGGTGCCCAGCGATACGACAAGAGGCAACCGGCACAAACTGAAACATAGGAAGTTCTGTCTGAACGTGAGGAAAAACTTCTTTCCTGTGAGGGTGACAGAGCACTGGAACAGATTGCCCAGAGAGGTTGTGGAGTCTCCTTCCCTGGAGATATTCAAAACCTGTCTGGACACATTCCTGGGCAGTGTCTTCTAGATGACCCTGCTTGAGCAGGGGGGTTGGACTAGATGATCTGCAGAGGTCCCTTCCAACCTCAACCTTTCTGTGATTCTGTTATTTCTTTTTCCTTCACAACAAAATACTTACGGATTACACTTTTTCTTCTTCTCCTCTCCATAAGCCAGATTCTTGCATCCCTTGATGCTAATTTCTAAAATGCAAGCTTTGAAGACGTATCTTATGGCAAACTCTATTTCTCCTGTGACATTAGCCTTGCCAAAATTGCCATATTCGGTGCAAGTGCTGTTAAGACTGTACAAACTCCCCTAAGACAAGAGAAATGTTTACGAAAAAGTAGCTTCAAATCAAAAAGGACAAAACATTTTTTCTCCTCAAATGTCTATATCTTCACTGACTTGACTACAAAGCTACTGGAAATTATGAAGATTTAAGATAACTGGTATAAAAGCATTCTGCTGTTTTCCATACTAACCCTTAATATTATAACTGCAAAATGTACTGCTTTGCCTTTCTCTCTTCAATAAACATTCTGGACTGAGAAAATGCTTTATCAGATAACGTCTTGATCTGGAAATTATCTCCCAGTAAATCTGCTATGTAGGTTCCATTCAGAAAACAGGTTAAGTATTTGAAAGGAAGAGAGGACTGTTCCTCAGTAATGGTTAATGAAAAAGCTCTGAAATCTAAGAACATATAGAATACAGCAGGAGACTGCTTTTAGTACACAGTTCATAGCAGGATACCCTGTCACGATGCAAGGTTCTAATATGCATTGAAGGAAACAAAAGTGGCAAAGTATCCCTAGTAATCTTTTATGAGATCCCTCAATTCTGTAGAGATATGACATATTCCATATTGCAGCAGACAGTTCAGGAAAGATTAAAGTACAAAGACATCCAGTTACTGTATGTCAGTGCATAAAAAAGCTGTTTCCTGGCCCTGGTTCCTCGCTTCCCTTAGCTACTTTGTTCTTCTTTCATTTACTTTCCCCTACAGGGCAAAGGTTTGGATGCTGCCCATCCACATACATAAACGCCATGTGTGCCTAGCATTTACAGAGGCCATGAAACTGAAATGAAGGAAGAATCTATAATGTTTTCTGTAGCCCAGCATAGCCAGGTAACTACACGGTGTTATCTAGCTTTCACTGTATCAAATGATCAACTCAATCAAAATTGTTTGGTCTCCATGCATTTATAATAATATTCTTTAATGTCAGCCCCAGAATCTTTTTATATAGCATGTGTCAGGAAGACACAATTGTTGTTGTAATTAATCTCACAGTAACGCTGTCCTAGATTACTAAGATATCTGTGTTATCTGTGTCACTTCTCCCTCTGAAAACACCAACCCGCACAAGACTAGTTAAACCAAGGAGTTTTGTACTGCACAAACCAGCAGCTATGAGAACAGGGTCAGTGTTTATAACAGATCATATCTTTCTTCCATGCAGACGCTATTCTTCATCTGTGCAACTTGCCAAATATCCATTTTAAAAGTCACATAAATAGCTCAATTAGATTACAGAAGCTATCTACGCTATCCTATAAGCTCAAAGTAATATGCAAACATAGAAGAAAGAAGGATCAGAGTGCTTATTAAGGAAGTCATAAGAGTTAGGACTAAGCTTTGACCTGATGCTTGTTGCACCTAATCTTGCTCCCTCCCCAGGATGTATATCAGCAAGAGTCTCCCTTGCAGCTTTGCTCAGTACTGCTCTTCCACTCACTGATGGAAAATATTTTTACGCACCTGACCAAGAAGTGTTTATTTTCCATTCAAATCTTTCATGACAAAGGAATACAAATAGATTTTTTACCTTAGCTCATCTATCCTAACAAAAGTTCTGCAAAAGTGCCCTAATACTTATTTTACATAACTTATTTATTCAGAGAAGCTGGACAATTACTCTGATTAATGATGTTTGGATTGAGTATCACTACGTATGTCTCCTACTTGATCAGGAATCACACACATTCAGTGTAGAAATGGCTCATCCTCGGTCCAGAACACCGGGATTTAGCTGTATTGCTAAATGACTTCCTGTATTGCACTTCTGCTGGCATGACTGGGAGCAATACCATCTCCTGTTTTTGGAAGATGCATTTTCATGGAGTGGTGATCAAAATCAAACATTTATCCATAAAGAGGATGTTTAATGGAACTTGGCCTTCCCCTTTACAAGATAATAGAAAATACTTCCTTTTTAAGAATGGGCTGCCTATAGTCCAGTTGCAATGGTTGCCAGCGGAATCACAAATGTTATCCAAAACTGTTCTCCGTTTGTTTGCGTAACACCTTAGACTCCACTGTGCAGTAAACTGTGAGGGAGCACCAAGGGCTTTCTGTCTGTTTTTACACTTCTGCAAGGCGAGCAGGCTTGCTGAATTTTGATTCCCTAAAAGTCATTTTACTTCCCTTCTTTACAATATCAGTCATGGATTCCTTGACCATTTAATCCTCACTGCCTAACCTCATCACTAACATATAGAAATTATCCTTAACAGTTAATCATGGAGACTTTAAAGCATGTGCTGAATTCTTTATAATTGGCTTTCTTCTCTCTCATTGAAGTATTCAAAATGCCATCCATCAGAGGAGGTTTCAAAGACATTTCTTAAACCTATGAACTGCTTCCTTGGCTTCTGTCACTATTGGCTTCCTTTTCCTCCTGTCAATTCCACTGACATTCTGACATTTGGATTTCATTTCCTTTGACGTTTGCATTACCACAGTTCTTGCAGAATAACAAAACCCTTCTGTGAAAACTTTGAAGAAAAAAAGCTAGCTACTAGGTGAGAGAGAACCACATTCAGGATCCCAACCCTAATACAAAATGGAAAGATCAGAACTTTTACATTTGTCCGTACTAGACATCTGTTCTACTGTGCTTCACACTTCAGCTTAACTTACATGTCTCCTGCCCTCACAGAAAACTGTATCACTTGCAGGACTGGTTATTGTGTCTTCTTCCTGTTTGTAGTTCCTTTTGATAAGAACCTCACTGTCCTTTTGGGCCTCAGTAATGAGCTGTTGAAGGCTAGGTGTACTTTTTACCTGTAAAAGATTCAGCAATTAGTTTATTTTTGTTTGAGACAAGTGTCCTGCTCCCTTCAGGAATGCTGTCACAGGAAAATTCAGTTCATTAACTGCAATTCACTCTGATCAATCTCACACAGCTGGCACACATCCAAAGAGAATGTAGGAACTTAATTTACATGTTGATTTACAACTCCCTCATCCTAGCTAGTGTCAATACAGCCACTACTAGGAGCAGTACACTAACACACCAAAAGTAGCAATACACTAATAGAGGGCCTTATTAGCCTTTAACAAAACAGTAATTTTGCCAAAAAAACTTGTATCCAGGAAATTAAAAATAGTATTTTGCAATATACATGACACATGCCCATGTCTACCTATGCAAGAGTGAATGTAGGCTGAAAAGAGACTTGAAAATAGCAATACATAAGGTCTTATTTAGCTACGATTATAGAAAAGGTTAAATTTCTGAGGTTTGTCTATGCTTTGTCTTTAAATACGTTTACCTCCCCAGTCTTCCCATGAAAATGCTGATAAATTAACATATAAATTAGCAAAACTCCTCAAGATTTACCTTCTGCCCCCTCTGCTTCCAATGAAAACAGATGTAATGGAATGAAGTGCCAAAACACCAATACATGTGGCTAGAAATGTGCTGAAAACACATCTGGGCTCCTTCTGGCACACTGATAATTCTTGATAATAAAGGCACAAGGGTAGGGAAACAGGA